CCGCCCCCACCACCCTCACCGTCCCCACCACTCTGCTGCCCCGACACTCACACCGTTCCTAGCAGCATTCCTAGGTGTTTAGAAGCGGCCACCCACACCCCCCCCACCACCCACACCGCCCCCACCGGCCGCTGCCCCGTGCTCCCACCGCCTTGACCCCGTTCCTAGCATTCCTCCACTTTCTTAGGTGCTTAGAAAGTATTTAAAGGCTGCCAATGCGTGCCCGGACCTTCCCGCGCCCTCACCGCCCACACCGCCCTCACCACCCCCACCACCCACCGCCCGCACCAGCTTGGGCCACCCACACCGCCCCCAAAACGTTGCTGCCACCCACACCGCCTCCACCACCCAGCGGTGGATGTGTATGGATGTCTCATAAATCGATCCTGCCTTGGCAGTCTGGGTTCGATCGTACCATGACTTCCACATCACGAGGAAAAATGAAGTTGTTGTTTAGTCGGGAAGAACTGCAAGGCCGACGTGCCTCTTTGATAATCAACTAGAAATTCAGAGAAATTCAGAACACTCAGTCTCTGTCACGATGGCGTCCTTTCTTCCTCATGAGTTGAACTTCCGCGTCAGCGAGCACCAGTAGTTTCATTACCTGCAGGGTGATAAAATATTTGTCCGGCTGCTGATGCGATCCGAGGTTGGTGGTTTCCTCAGCGAATCATGGGAGAAGACTGTGTCAAACCTCGTTGATGTCCACGCTCGCACACCGGACGATACTTCCTGGCTTGAACGCGGTACGATCTCGAAAGCATTGCCAATACAGCGAGTACGTGCAAAGCACTGCAAAACTGCTTAGAATGTCTGATCGTCCTCTTCTGGCTGTCGCTCCAGGCAGTGTGGTTTCGAGTGCATTGGCCACCAGTGCGCTGCAGAATGCCAGGGCAGCCGATGTGGGGGCGCCAAAAGAAATCCTGCCGCTCTTTCAGCGGCTGCAGAGCCAAGTTCCGAGGTGCCTACCGATGCCAGGGTGATCTTCAGGCCGGTGATGGAGGGCCTTCTTCAGTGAGCTTGCTCTCTGTTTTGGAAAGCCAAGAGCCGAGAGCGCCAGGAGATCGGCAGCTGTGGCCTGAAGTGCCAAGGCGGGCTCCCCCCCACCGAAAGCATATGAGGGCTTCTCCCAGCCTGTAGATACAGAGTGAGCTACGCCTACAACAAGGGATAAAAAGGGCTACGTTTCAGAGCTCTTTTCTCGAGCCAGGACCTGAGTGCGCCTTCAGCTGCCAGGGCTCGGCCTGCGCGCAGCAATGCACAGGCCAGGCTTCGCTGCAGAGATCGAAGTGTTAGGGCGTTCCTGAAAAAGTTAGGGCCGTTTGGGGCCGGGCATCCTGCTTCTATTTAAGGTTCTTTAAACTCATGTACAATCCCAACTCCTTCAACCCCAACCCCGTCAACATGTCGCCCTTGAGGTGACCGATGCGGCAAGAGCTGCCAGAGTGGCACGAGTGGCGACCAGAGTTGTGCGAAGCAGCGCCTTTCCTGAACTGCCGGGGCCAGGATCTCGCCATTTTGCTGGCTCGCTCGGTTTCTCTGGACTCTCCGGCTTCGTTGTCTCTGTGCGTTTGTAAAGCTGTTTTCGAGGTTTGGTCAAAGGTTCCACTGCTCCCCCTGCCGCCCCCTCCCGCTCCCCTCCCACTCCCCTCCCACTCTCCCTTTCCCATCTCGTTCATTTTTCTTCATGTGGAGTTCCGCTCTTGCATAGTCTACTTCTTTCCAAACTCTCTCTTGCGTGGTTCTCCTCTGGCTCTCTCTCTCTCTCTCTCAAAGACTCCCTTATCCGTTTGGGCTTGATTTGAATGAGCAGGCGCCTTACAACGGCGTGCCCCCCCGAGGTGCAAGGGCGAAGAATGTGGTGCCCTGTGCGTGGGAGCGACCTGCGCCAAAAGTTGCGAGGGCGACTTCTGCGCCTTCCAGCCGAGACCTTAAGAGCAATTAGGGGAGTGTTCGGCTTGGGGCAACGGCGCTCGATCGCTGCAAGAATTTGGCATAGGTATAGACCTCTGTGCCATGCTCATGTCTTTGAAGATGTCTGTTCAAAGATCGAGCTTGGCCTAGGTGCAGCGGAAAGCTGGAGGCAGAGCGATGCAGAGCGATGTAATCGGGGAGGGGTTGTAGAAAACTTGTATGCAGCCTGCCAGAGAAAATAACTAAAACCGTGGCCCCGCTACTTTGGGCATTGCTACCCTTCCCTCCGGCAGGATGTGGAGAAATGCGGCGCCGGCTGCAAGGGTGTGGGCTGTGCGGCATCGTGCCAAGGCGAGATGCCGTAGTTACCGTCACAGCAGTTGGGCCCTACAGGTCAGGAAGGCTCGTGTGAAGTCTGGCTTGCAGTGTGCGACTTTGACCTGCTCCTGTTGATGATTTGGCACCGGAAGCCCTTTACTTCGCCGTTCAGAAACCTGAATCCCGAACTCCAGTGGAATCGTCTCCAGGCAGCGAGTGCGCCAAGGGGTGCACAGGAGAGCGATGCGGTGCCGGCTGCAGTGGAACCTCTGGCCGCCCGGATGCTTCACCCGAGAGCCCTGACGGCCCTGAATCCTAAGATCCCTTAATACCCTAAACCCTGAAACCTCAGAACCCCTACAGACTCGTCGGTTTTCTGACAGATTTCTCAGCACAAGCACTCGGCTTACATCTTTGAGGCAGCAAGTCCCACTGCGCTGCGGGCTGCGTCGGGCGCCGTTGTGCGGCGAACTGCAAAGGATCCCTAGTCACTCTAGTCTTGGCTTCACTAGTCTCGGCAGTTTCGTGACGCTGAACTTGGAAGAAAGAGCTCTCGCACGAAGCAGCTAAGACTACTCGACAGAAGACGTAACTGGTCGAAGTTCATAGTGCCAGGGATCCTGAAAATTCGTTTGAAGTTTCGGCAATATCCGGAGCCCTCAGCACCTCCAGCTCAGCCGGCCATGCCCAACTTCTGTTCTGCAGGAGCCTTCTGCGTGCTGTGGATGCAAGGATTCTGAGGGGGGGGATCGTCGAAGGAAGGTTCGGAGTTCGGAGCCGTAACCGTCAAGGCACAGGTTTCTGCCCCATGGTGCCCCTTGTTCGGCCCGGGATTATGCACGAGATGCTGAGGAAGCATGCCATGCCGTGGTCTTGCCTCTACTCAGTACTTGCCGTGACCAGCTTAAGAAGCCCTCTACCAAAGCCAAGCGCAGCTTCCCTATGTGGACTGCTATGATATGCTGAAGCACTCTCCGAGGGAGCTGGCTGCAAGGGCGAAGGCTGTGCAATGGGATGCGAAGGCTGAATCGGGGAAGATTGCATTGGAATGGGTGTTTGATGCCCAGCCGGGGCCATGACTTGCGCACGTTGGGCTTGTTCATGCAGGCACGTAGCCAAGTCTTTGGGACGTGACGGCCTAGTCTGACCGAGGAAAACTCGTTTGCCCAGCTTGTGTTCACTACAGAAATGTTTTGGCAATGGTGATCGAGCATGTTCTCTTAGTCTTGTTCATACTTCTTGTTCATACACCGGCTCCTTCATGCCGCGTTCTACTCCACTCTACCTCACCAAAATCAAAGTAGTTATCCCGCAACTCCGATGCAGCCACTATTGCAAGACGACGCAAGCGGATTCGTGAAATGACGATTCTCCTGGCTCAGGAGAATCCTAGCCATCCTAACCCATCAATATTGTCATGGCTTGTATGCCCTTGTGCCCCATGCGCTCTTCGGGGAGCCTTTCGAAGCTTTCAGGATTTCTGCTGTGCACCTCGACAAATGTGTGACCGGCGAGGTGAGAACTGCGATCAGGGCTGCACGGGGACCAACTGTGGAAAAGGCCGGAGGGTCTGTGCAGATGAAAGGGTCTGTCCGGTCCGTGCCAATGGCTAAGAACCTATACAAATAAATTTGCGGTAGCAGAGAAGCATCCGTGCGGTGATTTAATGTCGCAATGTGTTGGTGGACTAGACCGCGACGAGGCCTTTGTTTCATGAAACTTGTCATCGTCCTCTTCAAAACCTGGTCAGTGGGACTGCAGGAAGCCTCATCAGTTTTGCATGCCGCTGAGGAGCAACGCCAGCGGCGACGTGCAAGGAGGACGGATCCGCCTCGAGTCACACGCACATGGGGCTGTGCTGAACCAAGCGACGCAGCTGAAGCGTGTTATAGGAAGGGGATGGCATTTCGGAGCGTGTCATGATGTTTGATGCTGCCGTCGTACCATTTGGCAGCCGTGCAGAAAATCGCTCTTTGAAGGCCATAGGGCCTTCAAGCTGACAGCAACACTTGGACATTTTGCTTGTCCAGGAGCTCCAAAAGAATCCGAAACTCTGCGGCTTACGGGCAACCTTCAATGACGAGGCAAAATGCATTCAAAGCAGCTGCTTTTGTTGCTTTGTACATGACGCTTCGGGCCACTTGGGAAAATAGCTAAGTTACTTAAGGGATCATGGGAACAGATTTCGATTGAGCTGCAGATGCACAACTTCGCACTAAGTGTGAGGTGCTTTGTTGTGTTAGCTCCTGGGGCTGTGCAAGGTTTCACGGCTTGCTGCGTTTGGTCTGAGTGTGATCTAGCCAGAAGCTGACGCCTTTTTGGAGCTATTTGCAGCATTGATCATTCGCGATCGCCTGAACAGAGGCGAGTTCCGTTTCTCAGACTCCCGAATGAAGTTTCATTTCAGCTTCGGCTTCCTCCGGTTGCTCCCGTGCTTGGCCTACAAGTTTCGCGAGCCGCACATCCCAGCATCGCAGATCCAGTATGTGCAGGAGTTGACTGTGGCCTTGCCCCTCGCGGTCATCAACCTCACAAACTGCACACAACTTCTCCGAGATGGAAACCTGGTAGGTGGGAACATCACCTTCCGCGCGAGCGACTTCGGACATGACGTGCCATTCGTGATGGACAAGGCCGCGGGCTTCTACGCGATTCTGGATGACGTCCTCAGCCGAGCGACTGATGGAAACCCTTGTTTCCACGAGGATCTCAGAAGCTACATGGCCTGCATCGTGGCGGCTTCATGCGTCATTCAGGCCGCTGTGCCGGCCTACGTGAGCATGGAGGTCTACGCCATGATCCTTGAGCAGGTCACCCGCTTCGAAGAGATCACCTGGCCACTGCTTCGCGACGCCTTGGACCACGAGGAGGGCAGCAGCCTCGCAAGCGACATCCTCTTGCCGGAGGCCTTTGTATGTGACGGATCGGAGCATGACCCTTCGTTCTTGCAGCTCGATTCCGACAGCCATGAGGCTTCGCAGCGACTCATTTCTGAGCTTGGCACGGAGCACACGGCCACCGCAACCATGGCCTTGGCACTTCGAGTGGCGGCCGCCAACAGTCACCAGATCTTGGACAGCCATGCCACGAACGGATCCCTCGACGCCACCATAGAAAAGCTTCAGCACGTATGGCACCCCGTGTGCCAGCAGCTCGGATGCGACCACACGAACTTCTGGGACATCTACTTGCAGCACCACAAGCACAGCATGGCGGTCATCAAGACGAACCATGCCGGTCTCCTCCGCTCGGACATCAAGCTCCGCTTCCACCTCGAGCAGCGCGTGCAAAGGTGTCCTGAGCTGCAGTAGCAGTGGTAGTTGTAGCTTCAGTGAGGTGACAGTGGTATTCGTTCTGGCAGTGGATTTGGTGGTGCTGCTACCGGTGTGCTAGTGCCGGTGCTAGTGCTACTGCTCGTCCTAGTTGTAGTTGCAGTGGTGGTGGTGCTGGTGTTGGTGGTGGTGGTGGCGGTGGCGGCAGTGGCATCGTCGTTGTTGTTTTTGTTGTAGCCGGGATCAGACTGGCAGGGTAGCTCGTGAGGCTTTCGAACAGGCTTTGGGCCCCAACTCTTTAGAGGTTCCTACCAGGCCTCTTTACTTAACTGTGCGGTGAGTTGGCCCCACTTTTGAGCCATGTGCCTCCTTTGCTAAGCCGGTCTGCATCCGCCAGGTCCCAATTCCTGGACCCAGTCATTGTCTAAGACTTTGTCGCACTGGGGAGGCGGATGGAGGCGGTAGGGTTTCATCTTACCGCGCAGTGGAGAGAGCTTTTAACTTGTAGTGAAAACAGTGGATGGCGTTGCTTCCAGTGCGCTCGCAGAATTTTCTATCTTTGCGTAAGAACTCGTTCAAAAGAGCATGCAGAAGAGTTGTTCAAAACCAGGCAACGGTGTCTTACAGAGGCCAGCCCCTCACCGCAGCTGCTCAGGCGTACCGGCATTTTGATAGGCTTCGGCACGCTGTGGATGACCTTCAGAAGTGCGCGGCTTGCCACCACGCTGTTTGGTGCCTGCCCCAACCCTTCGGAACTAAGGCAAGTAATCGAATCTGGGGCAAAAAGTGACAGGCCTGATATTCAAGAATTGCAGGCTCTGCGCCAGCTTTTCCAGAACCTATGGACCCATCTACTTGCTGCTGGAGTAAACGGCCTGCAATTGAAGAAAGGCGGAGAATTCAAACGAGGGTTGTTACTTTGCGACAAAGAACCGGTTCCGCGTGGCGTTCGCTCGCTGCCGGAGTTGGCAAAAGGGTTTCAATTGGGATCCCTGGGCGTCGGCCACATCGCTCCTGCAAAGCCGCACGCCAGCTATCAGCCCGTTGGTGGCTCTGCCTTTTGTCTCTTCGTCCCATTTTTGCGTGCAGGCACTGGCCAAGAGTGCCGTTTTTCTTTTGCACACTGTACCGCAACTGAACTGAGGAAGCTCAGGGAAAAACAGATGAGGTGACAGCGAAGTCATCGAACTGCCAATTGCTCATGCTGTTGTGTGCTCAGTCTGACTGCTTCTCGACAAGTACACCTGCTGTGCGGAGGCTCTTGAACCTTTCATGTGCTCGTCAGTCCATCCGGATGCGGGGGCAGCCGCAGTTGGCAATCCTGTGCTTGCCGACTCTAAGCAGTACGAAGCTGCACAGCGTGGATCGGTCGCCAAGAGTCGCCACGTGGCAAATCATCCAATGGCGTAGTCATGTTTTTGATCTTCGGGTCGGCTTCACACCTAGTGAGTGCTTGGTGGGTGCGGTAACATGCTTGCCATGCGTGGGCTCTTCTTCTTCTTCTTGTGGTGGTGGTGGTGGTCGTCGTCATGGTTGGTGTTGTTGGAATTGTCGGTGTTGTTGTTGTTGTCGTGGTTGCTGCTGCTGCTGCTGTTTGTTTGTTTGTTTGTTTGTTTGTTTGTTGTCGTTGTTGTCGTCGTAGTAGCAGCAGCAGCAGCAGCAGTTGCATAATAATCAGCCAGCAGCAGCAGCAGCACCGCCGCGGCGGCAGCTGAAGTCTTTGTCGCAGCACGACGTGCCAATGAGTTTGAGCTTTTGCAACTTGTTTTCAAACAGGAAGCTGTTTGGCGCAAGCTGCCGAAGGTGGCCCTGTTGAGTGCACTTGCGGCTCTTAATTAACGTAAAGCTCAGCAAATCGAACCGGTGTCATGCTGCGTCGTGGTTAGGCTGCTGTGCAGGAATCGGAGGCAGATGCCGATGGCGTTCGTGGTGCTGTGCGATGGCGAAGGACAGCACCTGTGACATTAGTGATTTGTTCTGAGAAAAGCAACTTTATGTTGTCTATCGGCATGTCTCAGCCGGCATGCCCTACATGTTCTCGCTCAATTTTTGCATCAGCTGGAAAGTGACACCTCGGTAAACGTCGGTCTGTCACATGGCCTTTTCCGCGTAGACTATGCCGAGCAACTCCGCTTCTCAGAGAAGATGGTGAGCTCTGGACTTCCATAAACCGCAACCCGCGAGACCACACCGAAGCCGACAGCCTGGGCCAGAACAACAGATTGCCGTCAGTGCATGATTCGAAACACATCTGTCCCGTAATTTCAAATCAGCGGGCATGCAACGCGAAAATCGCAGCAAACATGCCCCTCGCCGTCCGCACCCTTTCATTGTCAAGCTGACGTCAGCATGCGCATGAATGTGCGACCTGAATCCGTCCTCTTGTGTGACCCTCAAACACAGCGCGCACTCCGACCCACCCCGACAGACGAAGATGCCTGTGTAGAGATTCCGCAGGAACTTATATAGAAGTGCATAAGCTGTTTGCAGCGATATGGACAGATGTTCAATGTCTTTGACGCTGCATGACCACGATAGCAGGATGCGTGCACGCGTATACACGTCCAGCCTCGTATCTCATGCCGAGCGCATGCGCTGGAGGACGGTGGGGGGAGCACCTGGCAGAGCCAGCATCATGAAGACTTCCAGCGATTTAGGCACAAAGGCCAGCAGCATGCCAGAGTTGCAAAGGCATTCTTCCTGCCATTGCATATCGAAGCTTGCATGAGAAGGCATCGTCTGGGAAGCCAAATTTGCGGGCTTCGGTTTTGTGACAACTTTCGAGCCATCTTTGCAAGAAGATGGGCTTGTCAAGCCTGTCACAGTCTATGATGCATCCATTCCGGCTTCATGTGCCGAAGTCATGCCGGTTGTGCATATTCAATGTTAAATCAGAGCATTGTACAGTTTGTGCCGATGCACCAACTCATGTTGGTCGCGGCGTTGTTCTGCTAGTAGCTGCTGCCACGCTTTCAGACAAGGGCCAGCAATTTCGGGAACACTGCGTGCTGTGGTGGCTCCATGAGCTGTGGCTGGGAGGAAGTTTCACGACGGCACCCCTCATCCAGCTGTCCAAGACAGTGGCTACTGGGTTGAACCGACGACAAAAGCCTCAAAGCTTGAAGTACTCCCGTGGTTTCAAAGGTTGATACTCCCATGGGATCGGACCAACTGAAAACCGCAGGTCAGCTTCAGTGACCTACCGGCAGGGAATCAACAACTATCTGAAACTATCTAGTACTTTTGAGGTCAGCCTTTGGAGCTCGCTTTAACAACGTCATCGCTAGCCCTCCTGCAGCCGCCCGTGTGCAGGGTGAGGAGCAACCACAGACGCCAGCTTTCTGTCCGGCATATGTTGTCAGTTGATCTGGGCTTGTGGTGCTCCCAAATGTATAGGTCGACACACTAGCAGCTAGTCACTAGCACTGTTGCGAACTGTTCACCCAAGCCGCTGTTCAGCGGGATGTCCTACCGACTGCGAGAGCCCTGAGCTGTTTCTTGTTTCCACACTTCGAAGTCACTCGATTTCCAAAATAGTCTTCAAGCTCAACTGCGATGGAGTGGGGTGAAAGATTGGATACGCCCCTTTGGGCAAGTTCTTTCATCAATTTATCTTGGATGGAGTAGCCCGGCCCGCCCTTTCAGGAGGAAGGACCTGTTGTCCAGACCCGCGATTGATAAGTAAAAGGCCACTGTTGTGAAGCATGGGGTCTAGACCGCGAAGAAGACGAAGAGCAAGAAAAGAGACCAGAGAAGGTACGAGAGAGGAAAGAAGATGAAGAAGAGAAACCACCTCTCTGGGCAGCTGCGGCTCATTCAGAGCAATTCAGCGGGCTGCTGTCTGTAGGGCACTCGTGCACCACCTCGATCTGCGCCCGCATCTCATCGCTGACATTTGCGGCACTGCAAATGCAAGCTTTTGCTAGTTTCCCGTTCAGTTGCAAGGGCAGATGAGGAACCTCCAGAACAGCGCCGAGGACACTGGATGTTTTCGAGCCTACAAAGGTGCGAAGTCTGCGAAGTGTCTCACGCAGGCGATGCCCAAGGAGAAGCAGACCCTGTTCGCCGAGTCCTCATGCTTCACTTCAGCTTAGCTCAGGATGTCCTTCAATGTCAGGTTGGCCAATTCCGGAAGACGAAGATGTGCCGCTTCCACGAAACTGGCCAGCGCGCCAGATCTGCCTCGATGGCAAAGAGCAGAGTGGTTGGTTATGTAACAACATGGAACATCCAAGAGCAGAGCGGTCGATGCTGAAGTGCTGATGCTGAACATTGCTGAACTCGTTCATTTCACGCCAAATCAGCCTGTCGATGCAGCTATGCAGGAAGATGCCGCTACGGAGACGAGTGTCCGTTTGCGCACGACCCATCCGAGCTGGAGGAGTGCGAGGGCTGCGAGGGACCGAGCGGCCCCGCAGGTTGTTTCGAGCCGAAACTGCAGGAGCTGCCAGATCTTCGCAAGACTTCCATTTGCAAGTCCTGGTCTCAGCCCGTGTCCCGTGGCAGATGTCGATGAACACCACTTTCGCAGTAGCAGGAATTGGCAGCAGGGACGCTGCTCCCACGCCTCTGAACGATGCCCCTTTGCCCACGGCAAGGCCGATGCCTTATCGCCGACAATTCCCTTGTCTGCCCAGTTCATGCCTCACACAGAATTTGAGGAAGAACTCCGGAAGACACCACCTTTCGGACGCAAGAGGTCTGGCCAGGATCGGAGAAAGTTTTTCACGAGTGGTGGCGCATTCACCACAGTTTTGGATGCTGTTTCAAGTCTTTGCACACAGGGCGAGGCATTCGCACGGAAGGACAGCTTCGAAGGTGCAATTCAGCCTGCCATCTTAGTTCAAGGGCCACGAATCTGCGACGGCCTGTGAGGCAGCGATGCCTATGCATCGACATCGGAGGGTTATCGCAGTGGATCTGGATACTTCACCGACATCGACAGGCATTGCTGCCGTCCTCGTACACCATTCTGCACTAGCAGTGGCACTTCCGAAGCTGTTATGGCAACATACATGTAAGCACCCTGGAAGGCAGTCGTCTTCAAGCTTCGATGAAGAGCCCGCAAGTCCGGCTCGGACAGACTGACACGATTAACGTCACCTTTTGAATAGTGTGAGCTAGTGTCGAGCTGGAAGCAGTCGTGCACAATGCTGGGGCAGCTCATTGAGCTTCTCGAACCTGCAGACATGAATCAGGTGAAGCGACACGAGATGGATTTGTGAATGGGCTCCAGATGGATTTATGAAGGGGCTTGAGGAAATGGTTGAAATAAAGAATTTGGCAAAGACATTGCTGTACAAAACAGCACCAACAGCGAATCACCTAAATCACCTAAACAAACACATCAAGCAAACACAGCCTCGCTCAGCTGCATCCGCCCTGCCTCATGACAGATTCCAACACACGCATGCGCATGGACATGAGCTTCCCGGCGCCCATTCTGGCCGCATGGACGGGACACCGCTCGTGCTCGACAATGGCTCTGGCTCGGTCAAGGCATCATAAGAATCCATGAAGCATGCCAGCACACTGTTCAGCCGTGTTCACTCAGTCAAACGGTATTGAAGGCAAGCATTGCCAGGTTGGCTACGCAGGGGAAGTTGAACCCAAGGCGAGCTACGTGACAACTGCCTTGTCAGAGATAAGCAGTGAACCGTTCCACTTTGGATCTTCAGTGCAGGTGGTCTACAGCAACATGTACACAGCCGTGCGGGCGTCTCGCCACGAGCCATCGAAGGCAACTTGCAAGCATGAGACGCATATGCCGTGCTACGGCGATTCGAAGAATGTGCAAGCTCGTGGTCCGGCTCCAGGCCGCAACAGAGGCACTCGAGAAGAGCAATGCAAGGCACGTTCGCCGTGGTACCAGGAGAATGGAGAACACAAGCCGTTGCTGCTTGAGTTGCACACCCTATGTTGAAAGCGTGTTCTGGCGCTTCTTCTTTTCCATTTGGGGCACTTATACTTCCAGTGTTGCTGCCCCGCGAGCGCCTGCGCCAGGTTGCATGTGATGGACCATGGTGTCGTGACCCAGCGCGGTCCACAGAGCTGCAAAGGCAGCCGCACTGTAGCTGTCGACGTTCGGGTGAAGCGAGCGTGTAGGGCTGCACGTGGAGGGCGAGTCTGTTCGTTGCTCTGATTCTGAGGTGGGAGGGCCTTGTGGAAGTGTTCCAGGCAGCCCTTGACGAGATGAAGGTGCTCTGCCACCTGATGATATCTTAGGTTTGATTCGCTTCCTTTTTTTTCAATAGGGATTGCTTGGAGTTCAGGTTCACGACCCATCTCAGCACCCTTGCCTGGTCACAGAGGCCATGTGGACATGTCGTCAACCAGTTCGATAAACAGTCACTTCATGTCAACGTTGAAGCCAGAAGTTACACCTTTGCAGATTATCCTGCTATGGGCCTGGGTCAGTTTGGATTTAAAGAGCCAGTGCAGGCTCCCTTCAATCCAACTGTGCATCGGGAAGTGCTAGCTGCTGCCTTAGCAGCCGTAGCCATTCGTGCACCATGACAGGCATGATCCGGCATGCCGGCTCTGTGCCAATTCCAGGTGGAGAAACTGTTTGAAGAGCTTCGAGTGCCAGCAGTGCAGGCAACTGCGGCAACCGACATAGGGGCGAGGCAGCATTGTTAAATTTCCAGTGGTGTTGATTAACACATCGCGGAGGTGGTGCACTCAGGGGCGCTTGCGCTCTATGCGACAGACAGGAGTGTGGATCCAAGCATACTTCTCTCTGGCTGCACTGCAAAATCAAACTCTAAGTTTTCTGCAGTGTGATCCCAGAAAAATTTCTTGGTCAGCTAGCGGCTAAGGAACTGGCCTCGTGATTGAGGTCGGCGATGGTGTGGCTCAGACAGCTGACTCCCTGGTTTGTCGATAGAGTGTGCAGAGTGCGAAGCCACCGTCTCCTAGAAATGAAGATCGGGATGTCGGAGCGCCATCCACCATCCAGCTAACGAAACAGGCAATGCTAGCACCTCTCCCAGGCCGATTGTTGGAGCCACACTTGGCAGGTATTGCGACGACGAAAAAGGAGACCGCACAGACGACATGTTTTCGGATAGAACTCTACAAGTCGGACAATTGGGAATACATGCGCTAGCAACAAGAGGCAGCGGCAAGGACGACGAGTAACAACAACACCCGCCACCCTCCCGGACCCTGAAAAATCCAGCGCAGAGGGTGGGGTTTGGGGGCGCGCCCGGGGCGAGGGGCTTGGGCCTGGGTTTCGGGTTCAGGGGTGAGGATGGTCAGGAATTAGGCCTTAAGGCTTCAGGGCTTTAAGATTTTGTTAAAGGTTTCAGGCTTAGGGTTTAGGGTTACGCGCGCCCGGCACATGTCCGCGTTTAGGGGTTTGGGTTTTGGGCTCAGGGTTCAGAGCTTAACGGTCTTTAGGGTTGCAGGGTTTATGGGTTTAGTGTTGTGAGTTTGACCTGTAGAAAGCATCCCGTGTTGGCAGTGTAGGTAGCAGCACCGGTATAGTGTCAGTGCTAGGAGGGACAAGTGATTATCTACCGCAGGCGCCTTGGGCTTGAGCGGACAAAATCGGCTGTTGTGACGTGCTGTAGCGTTCGGTTCCTGTCTTCAGCTTCAAACTGGTAGCGGAGCAGGTGAACCACAGCACCGTTTCATTTCGTCTAGGTCAGTCTAGGTGTTGTATTGTAGGGTAGAGCCTCCTAACTCGCCGCAAGTGTAGAGAGGAGAGCGATGTCAGTGGAAGGACTCAAGTATAGTGGAGTCCAGCAGTGAGGACATAGCTCCCCTGCAGAGACCAAATCCGCCAGCTACATCTACGCCGGATCCGCCTCAGCCTACCATGACTGGGATTTTCGCACCGCATACACCTTTTGCAACACTGCGAAAAGCAGAAGCGAGAGTTGCTTAAAGAGCTGCGGGTGAGCGCAAGCGCCAACTCGCGCAGTCAGAGCCCCAGAAAATGGGCACCAAGACGCACAGGCAAGGCAGGCTGTCGGCATAGATCCGATCTGGCTGGTGATGGCAATGGCCACCCCACCGAGGGTGCACGCTGAAGAAGAACCGCCGAGATGGCAGCAGATGAGGAGGACGAGGACGTCGGATCAGTTCCGAGCCACCCGAGTCAGATCGAGGATGAGGAAGATGACGATTATCTTGACGAGAATGACCGGGCCTATACAGAGCCCGTGATTCCCACGATGTCTGACGTTTCGGACGCAGACGTTGAGATGTCCGAGTGTGTCCCCAAAATCCTTGAGGGATTGCGTGGAGGTGCCGTCAGCATCGCGCGAGACATAGGTCTTGTGCGCCTTTTGAAGCCAGATGGCATAAACCATCTGATGGAGCAGATCAGGCAGCAAGCCTTTCCTCTGCAGTATGAGGAAGCTTCGGAACTTTTCCGCCAGGGCCAATTGCTGGCTCACAGGACCCCCAGCGAAACCGCCGGGGGAACATATGCTGTCTTACATCGCTCGCCGAAAGCGGTGGTGGGCCACGCTATGTGAGCTAGACCCAGGCCCAGACATACGTCCGTCGGAAGCAACGCGCGCCAACCTTTTGGTTGAGCTTTCAGGTCTCAGCCGCCAGGATCAATTGATGATTAAGACAGCGCCGCGGGCCCAAACGACTGACGAGTACGCTCGCGTGCTCGTCCAGCATTACTCCATGGTCCATATGAAGGAACAGCTCCTCACCGAGAAGAATGGTGCGCAAAGAACAGGGTATAGACCCTGGGCTGACAAGCAGCAGTATGGTACCCCAAAGTTTGGGTACATGGGCTACGGCTACGAAGAGCATGAAGCTGCTGAGTTGGACCAGGGTTAATCGCTGAGGAGGAGTTCTCTGATGTTGCTTACCCATCGTTGGGCTCCACCGATAGCGACGAGCTGTGGGTGGAGGACGAGGACATGGCCATGCAACTGAATGCCTATACGGCAATTTCAGAAGAGATCGAGGAGCAGACTGTCGGCGAGGAGCTCGCCGAGGCCGTGCAGCTGGCATATGCCGCTACGAATACCTATAGCCAGACCAAGGGCAAGGGTAAAGGCAAGGACAAGAGCAGCAAGGGGAAGTCTGGGGGTAAGGTAGTTAAGTCGAAACTTACCATTGCAGATCGCAAGGCTAAGCTCACCGAGCTTAAGAGCAAGAGCAGATGCTTCAGGTGCGGAGTCTTGAAAGCTATGCTTAGGAAGACCGTGCAGGAGACGTTGCCCTCGAATATTGAGGAGATGGAGACTGTGTTGTCAGAGTGTGTGACAGCAAAGAATGAGCTAGCGAGACATCAGGGATTCAGTCCAGCCCAACATGTCTTGGGTAAGCAACCGCGAATCCCAGGATCGTGTTAGTTGACGAGGCAGAGAGCTTCGGGACCCATCACTCTCGCCGCGACGAGACCAGTCCTTTTTACCTGTGCCATCGTGCCAGCGTGGAAGCCCAAAGACGTTCGTTCATTTGGACGCGTCCCGGAAGGTGACTAAAGCTCTCCAGCGAAATGCAGCACCAATTGATGCAGAATACAGTGTAGGAGATCTTGTTATCTATAGACGGGACAACGTTCCCGGAACCACAGCCACAGTTTAAAGACTGTGAGCCGCGTCATAGGACGCGAGGCTGAGAACGCGTAGTGGTTGCTCCACGAGAACGTGCCAGTACTTGTCAACGCCCGCAAGATGCGGCCCGCCGACGAAATTGAGGTGGCGGCGCACTGTGTGCTTACTGGAGAACCCGTTCTACCAGAAGCCATTGTCAGCGGACCGGAACAACGTTTCGCGGACGAACGCACCGCTGACCCGGTCACCGCACCGGCTACGCCCAGACCTAGTGCAGTGACACGTGGGTTGAAGCTTTTGTCTCGGACAGGTCCACAGAGGCTCCCAGAAGGGGTGCAGCAACCTTTTGGGACAAAAGGCCAGCTCACTTTCAGTCTCCATGAGACGCGCCGCTGGACGGCTCTGAAGTCTGCAGAAGAAGAAGACGGTTCCTGTATGGCCATGTGCTCGTGCAATATATTCATAACCATCATAATTCATTCTTGTAGTGATTGTAACAACAATAAGAACAATAGCAGTAATAATAATAATAACAATAATAATAATAGTGTGTCGTTTTCAGCCAACTTGCGCGATACTTGCGAATTTGGCAATGCCATGCGAAATTACAATCTCGGGTTTTGCTCAACGCAGCAGATCTGAACTGCCTGGGGCACGAGACCGAAACGTGGTTTCCAGCAGACGAGCATACGTTGCGCGGCACCAGGTTCCACTTTTCGACAGCTACGTCGTTACCAATGCGGTGCAGCGAAGAGACTTCGGGGGACGAGACTTAACTGTTTGCAGCTCAGGTCGTCATGTTCTGGAATGCATAGCGTGCGATTCCTTCGTCGTCATGTTTGTGCGACAGGGCATGGGCGAGTGCCCACGGGTGAGTCGCTTGTGACCGTCGCTGTTGTTAAGCGCACCGAGCTCTTGAGGCATACTTGGGGGAGCTCCTTCAAAGAGAGCTTGGATACAAGGAGGCGCTTGCTGATGAGGTGCCTGCTGCCAAAGTGCTGGCAAACATAGTCAAGTGGCGAATGTCCAGCTTGAAAGCCTCCATGCTCAGAGGTATGGTGGACGCAGCTGCAGACCGTGAAGGAACGGATGTGAAAGACCTGCGTTCAGAGACTTGCCTGGTGCCTTTGCAGGAGCGGATGTGCCGAGTCGCGACCCAGCACGTGCCGTCCTCCCGGCAGGCCCGGCAGGCAGTCCCGGTCCGCCTGTCATTTGCTTTTAGTCACCTGTGCGAGGATCCCGTGCAGCAAGAGTACAAGCTGCCCGATGGCAAGGTCAGGCTCTACAGCCGAAGTTGCGTGTGCATGTAGGCGCTAGGCTTAGTCCCGGGCCACATGTTCTGATAGGCAGGGGAGTTTCACCCCTAGAAGCGTCCTGCATTGATGAGTCGTTGTTTGGGGGGCCTCTTCACGACATGGCTCCACCGAGCTGGTCGAATTTGATCAAATGTCCCAACCGAAGCCGCCACGGAGGGCAGCGAGGAAGACCCGGACATGTGTCGAGGTGTGATCTTGGAAGCTCTAGGATTGCACATGTCTCGAAGAGGTGACTGTGCTGTGGTTTTGCCTCCGGCCTCCTTTGAAGCTTCCATCGTCTTCGTTTGTGCACTCCAAGTTGGCAGTGGGCCGGAGTCATCTTTACTTGCTGGCAAGTTACAGACGACCCAAATTAGGACCATGTGTGGACTTGGTTCACCTTTGGTGTCAGTACTATCTCCAGCGCTGGCTGAGAACAGTCGATCGTGTGTAGGTACTGGATTGGGAGCAAGGCCTTCTGTCACAATGTGCTGAGGCGCCATATGACACTCTGCCTTGAGAGAGAGCGACCTGACCGAAACTGCAGGCACTTTTCCAACCTGGTCAGCACTTAAAGGTGGACGAGGACCTGTGAGGCTTGTCCATCCAAGCCCTTGCCGCCTACGCACGCAGGAGGCTGTGGGCATCCACAAAATGGCCGCCAGCAGCGTGCTTGGCTGTGGCGGAAGGCTCAGGGCAAATAATGCTCAATTAGAGCGTGCAAGCTCTAGAGAGTGGCAGAGCTGAATATGGCCTAGGTCTTGACATCCAGAAAAGCTTGGCAAACAGTGTTGTGGGCACCTTGGTATCTGCCTTCGAAGATTGAATGGACAGAATGGCCGAGCATCGTCCTGGCCCGTCTGCACATGACATGCAGGGGCAGAAATGGCCAAATCAATACATTCCATAGAGGCCTCTCCACGTCCAAGCCAGCCAGCATGTCCAGTCAGGTATCATGTTCGTTTTAGTGTCCTACAAGTGTTGCCGAGTGCACAACCGTACGTACAATGTCTCTACAAGCTTTCGGCCACAAGCCTGTTCGAGGTTCTCTCTGGAGGTTCGACGCTGTTCCCAGGGATGTGTCAGCGTGTTCAGGAGGACATCTAACACATTCTCAGCCTTCTGGGTAGTTGCAGTTGATTTCGGTTAGGAGCTGCAGCGCCTGCTCCCGTCAGCCGTGAAAGCCAAAGTCACCCGTGTGGCCCAGCCCACGTGCCTCGGCATCGGGAAAGAGCGCCTCCAGCAGAGGCATTCCGGATTCCTTTTGTCTCGATAACCCCGCGGGCAAGGTACGCAGCTTTCATGGGAGGGTCTATCTTGGCGTCAATGCCAGACCTCCGGAGAACTTTTATGACCAGGAGTGAGCCGTGATCTTGGTTTGCAGAAGTCAGCTCGGAGAGTTGCGCCATCACACGGATGCAATAAAGTGCTTGCACGACTTCGACTGAGGTACCTGGAGTACGGTGCTTCATTCATCCAGAGCAAGAGTGTTAGCCTGACGAAACCACACCCCATGCCTTAGCTCCTTCAGGCAGAGTCTCAGCTAGGCGCTTTGTCTTTCTACGTGTACAGTGTCGCGTAGTTTAAGCAGACCGGGCCCGCCCAGACCCTTGGGCAGCGGGTCGCTCCGGCTCTGCAACGCTGTGTCTTGCCGTGTCTTGCTTCCGGCAGCGAAGCTTCCGAGAAGGCTAATTAAGAGACGTCGAAGTGCATTGCGCAAGCAGCTTGGGGTAAGGTTGCTGCGTGAACAAAGACACTGCCCCGCAAGAGAAATGCCTATGTCCGATGAAATTGGAACCGCATCTTAGGATATCTTCGTGCCTTCGTGCCATGGCAGGCAGCAGCTTCTTTGGGACCCGCTGGGCCTCGTGGCCGAGGAACTTTAAGGGTCGCTCTCTGAGTCTCTTCAAGGCATCGCACCCACGATGCAGGCACCAGCAAATTGCGCGCCGAAGGTGCGATTCCCAGATTCATGCACCTTCCTGCGTGAGATGTCGCGTGGGGAAGTGCTTCTTAGAACTTCGACATTGGACACGACCTGGATCAGAGCTGGCGGCAAGGCCGCGAACAGTTACAGTTATTACAGCCAGAACCAGCAGCCGATTTTATGGTTCTTCCTTCGCTCTCTCCATGGGTCTGTCAGCTCGACGGAGGTCTCTCTCAGCAGATAGCTGACAGAAGCCGTGGGCCGATGAGGACGGAAGTTCCTGTAGCTCATGGGTGCGTATGCACACAGCTGGACATTGGGACCACCTACCCCAGCCACTGCGGCAACGCTGCGCCGGGATAGTGATACAAAACGTCAAACTTGGATCAAGCAATACATTAATTTGGATGAACGAATCACGAAAACTAGCTCTTTGGAGCTTGCAAGAGTTGTCGTTTACAAGCCTTCTTCCTCTCTACAGTGTTCAGGTGAGTCAACGAGTCAACAAGCGAGTCGTAACTGATATAAAAATTGTGGGGGGGGGGGTGGGGGAGCCACCCACCCCTCTCCTTTAAGATTGATTTTGGCAATCTTTAGGTGTGCCCTCCCCCCCCTCCCATCATGAAGGTTCCGTTAATTGAATATTAGTGGCAGGAGGGAGGAGGACTGCCCCCCTCGCCACGGAGGTTTTCTCAGGCAGTGTCATATCTTTCAAGAACTCCAAAGAGCACACCGTCTCCGCGATGTTCCGAAAGCCTTTTCTGCTGCCGTAGAGCTTGCCATAATGCGAGAATGTTGATGTCTATGAGCGGATGCGGTAGTTCAGATCGGAAAACCTAGCCTTTTCTTCACCATGTACATGCAGAAAATGACCAGATCGCGCTGCTCCGTTGCTGTTCCGACCTTGAACTAGGTTTCGTAGCCCAGATCTCAAGTTTTATTTAATTTGGGACAAAAATAAGTAAACCAGCAGAAACGGAGGAAGGAGGCAGGAAGGAGAGAGGAAGGCAGGAAGGAAGATAATAGGGAAGGCAACAAGGAAGGAAAGGACGGAGGAAGAAAGGAAGGAAGGAAGCAAGGAAGGAAGAATGGAGGTCTGTTTGTTTAATTTATAGTTGTTTTGTTTTTAGTTTTTTGGGCTTCTTGGCTTCCTGGCTTCTTGGTTTTTCGGCCTCCTGCCTGCTTAGCTTCTTAGCTTGTCCATATGACATGTATACGCATCATTTATAAAGGTATATACCCATTCAATAGGCCCAGCCCTAACTAATGTATTTCCGGGGGCCCGTACCCAATACATTCCCACGGCCTGCGGAGTGTATTTCCGGGGCCCGGCAAAACAGCTAAGATTCAGAGGGTTATCCGGCCAAGTCATGGAAATCTAAACGGAATCTAACACGTTCAACGGTCGTTCAACGTACAGCTTCCTGGATGTCAGGGTAGAAAATTTTAAGTAGTCTCGAAACCTATGTGTTTCAGAATTGTTTCCGATGCCTGGGCAATTCCAGTGTTGTAAACCTGTGACAAACACTTTGACAATACCTACAGAAAATCTGCACATTGAAAACCAGCAAACTTGTCATTGACACGGCATGACACGGCTGCCTCGATTAAAAGAAGAGATTCTGAGTCACTGTCGCTTCCGTGGACATGTTACCGTCGAACTGCCTGTCAGGCCAGGGCTATATCCCACAGCAGTCGCGCAAGACTAAACGCGGCCATGACGAAGTCACACACATGCCGTCTGCAGCCAACATCAGCCAGCACTGGCCCAATCACTGAGAGCCTCTTGACAAAGCGGGTTTTGGCGGGGGCGCCATGGCTCCTAAGCGGCTCCAGAAAACACTGCCTGATGGGGCAAATCATCCACTCCTTCCCGTGCCGGCACAGTGTGCCGCCTGTCTGCGATTTCAACAAAGGCTGTGACCTAATTATCGTCACTCTGGTTCTCGCTGACACTTGCCTTGAGGCTGTTGCTCTTCGTGGTGAGGGCACGACTGAGACACTGTGGGACTCAACTCTCGAGTTCTTCCGCTGCAGGCCTGAATGAAGCCTGGCAAGCCGGTTCTGTCCGTGGTGTCTTTCCATGGAAGGCGTTCGGCTCACCAGCACCATGAGTGCTGGACGCCAGATGCTAAGTTCACAAAATCTGATGACGGCCGACCTGGTCTCCGGGGCCAGGGTCGTGGAGGGATTTCTCTCTCCCCGGCTATGGTGCAAAAGGTCAAGAAGCCGTTGAACCATCAACAGCACATAGAGTCGGAGCTTGAAGCCGCAAGAAGAGAGTGGAAGCCTGTTGGATATCGGCAGTCGCGTCTGGATCAGTGGGCGACGTGGGCCACGTTGGTTGCCGACGAGGTGGACAGCAAGTGCGGCAGCAAAGTGGCTGGTGCTTTGACGGCGTTCCGGCCGAGCTCTGCTCTAGGCCACGATGCCTAAAAATATTCTTTCTGGTTTTGCTTGGATTTAGGCCATTGAGTGTTGCATTTCTTCTCCTGCACTTTGCTGTGTTTTGCTCCCCCTTTGGCAGATGAGTGTGGTCACCGCCATTACCAACTTGTGGCGATGCGAGAACATGCATGCGGAAACGTGTGTCCGGCTTTGGCAGACGAGGTATTCAGAGTCACAAACACCAAGAACAAGGAGAAGGGGAAGTGCAAGCCCTGCACAGGAGCACTTCCAGCCGATGTATGTGGCGCACTCCATGTGCCATTGACAGAACAAGTAAAGCCTGGCATCTTCTTCACCACGGCGTTGCACGGGCGGCTTTCGGTTGAGCCCCCCAGCTTGAGGCCCGATCGTCCACAGATCCTCTTCGAGATCCAGGCGGGCCACTTCAATGTCAAAGAGAAGCCAAGCCATCTCGCCATCACGTTGACAAAGGAAAGCTGCAGTGGGACTGGATTGCCAGGCAAGCGGTCAAGGCGATGGCTCTGAATCCAAATCGCTGGTCTACACGATGGAGTGCTTCGAGCACAACAAAAAGGCCACCAGATGATGCGAGCCTACATGAGTGAGATGGCACGTATGTTCAAAAAGTTGACCGGTGGAGAGGTATGGGAAAAGCACGGGTTGGTGAGGGAGAGGCCGGACCAGAAGACCCTGTGCCACAAAGAGATAAGTTTTTTCCGGTTGAGGTCTGGTCTCGCTAAATTTTCGGTGTCGGATTCAATGTAGCATCAGTGTGCATGTTCGGTTTGCCTCGCACCGAGGGTTCGTTGCGCTGAGCTGGTGGAGAGATTGCTTGGATATGCTTGGATATTTCGTCACCAAGCTGCTGAGCAAAAACATAGCCGGCAAGCCCGGCTGCTCAAACAAAGACGTCGCGATGCAAGTTTGGCGTGAGTTCTCAGAGACAGCACCGACTCACGCCCACGGCCCCAGCAAATTCGTGAATTGGTTGAAAAAAGTGCACGATTTAGAACCGTCAGTGCTGCCTACGGCTGAATCCTGAAATGCGAGGGTGCATCAAAGGTGCACGACTCAGCACCTGCCGTTCTGCCGTTTTCTGCCTGCTGCTGTATTCTGAACTGCAACGAATGTCGTGGCAGCAGCAAGGGGAATGCAACACTGCTCCAACTCTGTTCCCTTAGCTCACAGAAGTCTTTAGTGAAAATAGCTCCAAACAGTATCCGCTAGACTGAGTTGAACGGCTGTTGTAACAATGCTAGCCGTACAAAAACCATTTGGCTGCACCTTCAGTGACAAGGTTGGCGTGGCAGCTGACAAAACAGAGCACTTGGTGCCCGCGAAGCACTTGATTGCTGAGACTTTGTTGTCCGTCGAACGTCTCGAAATATGTGCTTGCTGAGACTTTGTTTGCGTTCGAACTTCCCAAACCCTGTTTTCCCTGCTAACCCCCAAGGACATAATGTATGAATTGAGGGGGGGCCTCCAAAAAAGAGTTGAAGCCGGGTGTAATTCAGTGAGATAGCGAAGGTCAGACTCAGACAGAAAGACAAACAGCGACTTAGTGCAGACGTCCTTTCACGACGAACCGGAGGGGAGTGGAGCTCCGTCTGGCCAAATTGGGGACAGTCGACCGTAATATGTGTGAGCTTTGTTTACAGCCCTGCTTCTTCCTAGAGGTTGCCTTTCCCGTCAGCATCGACTGTTACCCCACAAGAAGTCCCGTCCGTGAGCTACTACTACGACGAGGATTATGACGACTACGACTACCAGATTCAGAACCCATCATACCGCCCGTGTGTTTGCAAATGAGGGGGCCTGCGCCCCCCCGACCCCCTATGCTTTTTTGAGCTCCGCAAGCTTGCTGTCAAGAATATCGTGCCATCCAGAACCCACCATACAGGCGTTGTGTTTTAACTGGTGGGGGCGGTGCCCCCCCGCCAAACTGCACTGTTAGCTGCGCAAATCAGGAACGGAACCAGTTTCAGAACTCATCATACAGCCCTTGTCAATGTGCTTATGCGGGGTCCGCCCCCCCCCCCACCCACCCCTGTGGTTTCTTAAGCTGCGCAAACTTGCTTTCATGAACATCGCACCGTCAAGAAGAACCGCGTCAAACACAGAACTCTGATGGAACCTTTCAAAGCCCATCATATACGCACGGTTTATGCAATGGTATTCAAACTGTCAGCCGCGCATGATTGTTTCAGGATCATCGTGCCATCAAAAAGAGAACTTATCTGAACCCATTCAAAACTCAAATGGGGGGGGGGCTGCGCCCAACCCCGCTCCAGTTTAGCGAAGTTGTGCAAGCTTGTTTTGGGAACATGGTGCCATCGGGACCCTGTCAGAACCCACCATGCAGGCCTTGTGCTGGCAACTGGTACGGGCGGCGCCCCCTTCATTTTTAGCTGCGCAAACTTGCATTATAAACTTCGTGCTTGCAAAAAGATGTCATATCTACGTAGGAGTTCCCCGCCGTTATTCTCATGATATAAGACAGCTGTAGAAATCCACAAGAACAAAGTTTTAAAAGTTGCGATTTCCCAATAATTAGCCTGCAGCAACGTAGGGCCCAACATATTGGACTTTCCCACTAGCTTGCTGCACAACAGAGACGCAGCCTTTTGAATTGGACTCCCGAATATCTTGCGGCAACCGGAGTCCCCCAAGAGTAGTAGTATTATACTACTACTACTACTACTACCACTACTACTACTACTGCTGCTACTACTACTACTACTACTACTCCTGCTGCTGCTGCTGCTGCTACTACTACTACTACTACTACTTCTATTATTATTATTACTACTGATCATTACTGATCATTACTGATCCAGTTGAGTTTTTGTGATCCAAGTTTAGCTTTGTTTGACCCGTCACCGTCAGCTTTTTCGTTAGCTCTGCTGCGTAGGTAAATAATGTTTTGAATCCAAATTACGTAGGCAGTTTTCATCAGTCACCCCACTGCGCCGGGCTGCTGAAGGACTGGATTCGACATGATTGCCATGCCAGCAATGGCCGGTCCAAGCCCTGGCCTGACACGATTCCTTCACCATACCAAACGTCATGCACAGACAATACGCCTGCACACACCAGGTATGCAAAGGCCTGATGCCACGCAGGGGTACATGATGGAGGGCGGTGTGGCACCGGCCCCAACATGAGATGAGATTGCTACTGTATGGTGATCTCAAACCGACTCAAGCCACTGTCGACATATTCAGCGACCTGATGCGTTAGGTTCCTGCAATGCCTGGGCATTTCGTGTTGATGCCTGCCATGCACCTGTCACCACCTGCGCTCGCCTTTGTTTCAGCGGCGCATTCTGTCGACACGTGGAATGGAAGTTTGTTGCGAAGCCTTGCTGTCAGGTCATGTGGGAGGGAACCACCCCGTACTCGCCATCCGGAAAAGAGCTCGAGGAGATGCTGCGGAAGGCGCTGAGATGTGTTATGCTAGGCTGTGCAGTGTGCAGTTTGCCCGGTGGTGTACGATGTCAGCTGAAGGTAGCCGGTTTAGCTTTCTACTTGGGAGGCGATGCCGACACACTATGATGACTGAGACGATGACATGAGAGGTCGCCCAAAGGACCGAGTGGAGAATCATTGAGAATCTGATCGCAACATGTCTTAGCCCTGCAGGCTGATGGCTTTGGAGGGTGGCCCAGAGCCGGCCTAGCTTGGCCATGGCCAACTTTTTCCTTGTTTCACCTCCTCAGTGGCCAGTGGCCTTCCCGGCCACTTCAACTCGTACCTCAGGCGCAGAGTGCTCGCTTCGCCGAGTCTCAAGCAGCAATGCACCTTCAAGCTTTCGTGAGGAATACGGGGGCTAGGCTGGATCCCGATGATCATGCAAAGATGGGCCCGACGATGCCCTGGCTCTGCATCCTGATGGAAATGACAGATTCGAATCTTTGAACAACTTTTTCTCAGCTCTGATGAGCCGCTCACGCGATCGGACAACAGCAACAGCAGCTTAGTTGCGTGAGTGCTGGCCAGTTCTGCCCATGGTGTTGCGCCAGGACAATCACTGCGAAGGTTCCAGCCCCTAGTCTGAGCTTGAGGCTTCGAAATTCGCAGTATCTCGCAATGTCTTGCAGTGCTTGCGTTGTAGCACAGTCCCGGGGCTTCTTTATCGCCCTTCTTGCCGCCCGTCGGGCATGAGGGCATTCCCCTGCTGTTGCCGTCATCAGTCGTAGCTCGGGTTGGACCAACGAACTGAGTCATCAGCTTGCATTTGCACTCAAAGAGCATGTGAGAAGGAGAACAAACACAGATTCGCCTGCCCAACCCGAAAGCGACTGTCTGTCGATCCGTGCTATTAGCTTGAGAGTTGACAGAAGCCAAGGCACTAGACATACTCTGAAGTCATATTCTGCTTCATGCTTCAAACACGGATAAATCGCGCGAGCAGATTGCAGCTGCAGACGCCGCCTCAAATTGTGTTCCGACATTACCTGACATACCTCAGTCACCCGCAGTGGCAGTGTACGCGAAACGCAAAGCAACCCGAATTCGGGCGGTGCTCTGCTGCTGCTTGATTGACGACGTCATAAGACTGTTCTGAAGATTTCGGAATGGCAGACGCCAGCCACTAGCTGTCACGGCAAAGCATCATCTTCCGAAGCAGAGGCCAGAAACTAGTTGCTTAAGTCAATAACCTCTGAGTCTCCTAGCAAGCGGGCTGTTTGCGCTGGCGCTTGACATCAAAATCAGCTTACCTGCTGCCGGACAGACAGGGATCTGCCAGATCGTCGAAGGAGGCATCAGCTGTGCAGCCCTACTGTGCAGTGGTGACTTGACTTGGAATGGACAGTACAGCGCAGGGAGTGAACGATGTCAGAGTGTCCGAAGCCTGTCTCGCTTGCCTTTCATCCGAGGTGCGGTCGCTATGTTGCTGTGTGGAATGCTGTGGACATTGCTTGACGCGTTAGTCCTGGCAGGAATCTTGACACGGCCTGTCAAGGGAATACCTAGCACAGCCCCTGAAAAAAGTAAAAGTCCTAATCTATCAGAGACGCTTTGAGACGCTGTGTTTGCAACATGTTACGGCACAGAATGGTTCGTGTTGCTTTCCCTTGGCCCTCACAGCATGAGCCCGCATCAATTTTGCCAAGCAGCGGTGAACTCGGGCTCTCACCTTGTGCGTACAGACCAAGCCTGCGGTCTCATGAGCCCACAAGTGGTAGCGGTGTGGTTGTAGTTTTTAGTCGAGTTCTCGCAGTCATGTGGGCTCAGCACGCGGCTGTCCGCTAGAGATTGCCACTTGGCTTGGGCGCCTCTTGAAGTCTGTGGCAACTTCTCGGCAAGCGGCTTTGATGCTGTACAGAGGTAGGCAATCACTGGGCTGCCACTGTTGGACACTTGTCCCATCTTGTCCCGATGTCCTTGACTGGACGTACAAATTCAGGTTTTTGTTGCTAGTGGCAGTGAAACCTGGTAAACAAGATGTGAACAAGTAAGGTAACGAGAAAGTGTGTGCAATGCCCGAGGTAGACTTCAAGACGTAGGGGCATGTGGCGGCATGTGTCTGCAGATGCCAGCAGACAGCACCTGTCGAGAGGAGTGTTTTAAAGGCGGGAACTAGCCATGCCAAGCCCCGAGTTTCTGGAAGTGTTGTGGCGATTCGTCAGTTGGTCTTGCACTTGAGTGTTGACAAATATATAACAATAGCACGGGGTGTGTTGTTGAATTGCCACTGCACAGACGAAGGATAAGGATTATGAGTTGTGAAAAGCTGGTTTCTGCGCTTGACGCGGAAGCATCTCGTCTGCGAATTGCAGGAGAGCCTCAGCTGCCAGGAAATCGCGAGAATTCCTTCTGCGTCAGAATCTGCCAGCTGAGGAGATGCGGGTTTCAGCCCTCAGCTTGGAACGGCCCAAGGCACCTTTGTGAGTCTGGGTTGGGCTCTGTAGCATGTTCCGCGTGTGCTCGTGAAGGCCCCGAGTCGATCGTGGGCCTAGAGAAGTGAGTGGGCTAGCATCGCAGACTCCGCCCTGAAACCAGAACAGGACACTGGATGCTGTATGCTGTATGCTCTCGTTTCGAGAGGGAGCGACTACTTGTTACGAACTCGAGCAGAATGCGGAGCCTGGAGAGTGCGCGAAGCTTCGCACGCTCTGGGAGCCTCTTAGAGTTCAGAGAGCCCCTCATTGCCGCTGAATCGTTGCGACGAGTTGTTTCACGCGTAGCGAATCTGTTTTCGCGACTGGCCCACAGAGAGCACAGTGGCAGCAGATTCTGGAGTTGCCAGCGAGTGGCAGCTGCACGAAGCAGAGGTTGTGCACGACTAGCTTCTGAGCATCTGACGAACGCAAGCGAACAAGTCTGCCTTTGGAAACCCATCAGCGTCACAGAGCTTTGCCTACCATGGCCATGACGGCATCAGCTTCCTGGACACGTGCGATTTGTGACATGGTTGCTGGGGAAGTCAGTCGAAATGCATCGCAGTGCACAAAAGATATCAGAAGATGGTACATACTTATCATCGAGAACGAAGAAAGACGGAGACGGAATGGTTGCATGATGCTGCGCGGGGCTGGACACATGATGAGTACAGGATACAAGTTTCCTCAAAGAGAAGAGCCAGCAGCAACAAGCTCAGGCAGCCTCATTCCTGCCTGTTTAAGTTGATGAAATATAGACGATGCTGACAGCAGACACGCTAGGAATACAGTCGTACAGCGCGCAAAGGCAACTGCGCAAAAGTTGGCGCGGTGCCTAGCTAGAGTAGAGCGTCCAACCTAGGCTCCAAAGCTTCGCTTCTAGGGCAGTTTCGGATGGGCACTAGCACACCGAGCATTGTATGGACAATGAGAGCAGCGTTGCCCTGCAGTCGTTCGTGTTTCAGGCTGGGGTTGTGCCTTGCTTCACGAGCACAGGTTGGCGAAGGTCTAGATAAGACAGCATCGCCATCATTTCGACCCATCCTCCTCTTCTCTGTAGAAGGGTCTTGTATCAATTTCGCTCAGTGCTACATGTGCCGACAACGTAGCTGCATTCGTTCATCGAGGCTTCACAAGGGTCAGGGCTATTTTTGGCGCTGTTTCATTGACTTTGTTGAGTCGTTGGTCGCAGCTCAGCAATCAGAGTACAGGCCTTCAGGATTCTCATTGCAGGAAGGGCTTAAGTGTGCTTAAGCGATGGTTGCTTTCTCGGCGATGCAGTCACATGCAGGTTGCGGCACTTCGAAAAGGCAGCAAAGCGGCACAAGACAGGCTTTCACAAGCTTTGCTGGCGAAGGATGTGGATTCCTCGGCTATCGCATTCGGTTGCTCTGCATCAATCGTGTGTTGCGTCAAGAGACGCACTGTCACATGTGTTCGAAAGGTGCATGCGTCTAGGTGCCTTCCGAAGGATGTGGATTTTGGCGCAGCAGGTCGCAAGCCGGCATACAAGGCTTCAGGGCATGTAGAGATCCGCCGAGTTTCTTTGCTAGCACTGCATGTCTGGTTTCGAGCACCCGAGATTCCACCTGTCGGAGATCTGGGCAGTGTTCTGGGGAATGACAGTGACATGACAGAAGAACAACAGTTCTCTTGTGCTCCCAGATATTCGGGCATTCCGGAACAGTGCTGGCTGTGGGTGGTCTGGTAACCTCGAAAATTCAAGAATGAGGCCACGAACCATGCCTGCCATATCAAGTTTTTTTCTGCGTGCCTCTTATCTTTGGGCAGTTGTCGCGTGGACCCCAAGCTATTCGCGATATTGCGCTGCAAGCGTGATTCGGTGCTCAACATGATCATTCACTGATCTCGGTTCGGTGCAGCCTGAACCGTTTTCCAAGGTTTGGCGTCTTTGTGCAGAGGCTCTGCTGGGCTCAGTTTTCATGTCGAAGTAGAACCCAGGTCGTGCTCCACCTTTGGGAGGCAGCCTTCAGACTAACGCTGGGATGCACTCTCAGGTAGTTTCACCAGAAGTCGCTTAACAAGCTGGACAGCATAGAGTCGGCACAGACATTCCTCATAACTGCACAACAGACGGAACCGAGCAAGTAAGTGTCTGATCTGGGGGAAGCCCAGTGTACGCAACTGTTGGAGGCATTGTCGAGGGAGAGGCTGAGCTTCGATGGAGAAGTCGACTCCTTTGTGAAGGTCTTTTGCGCCGAGAGCTCGACCTTCCTCCGTTCGAGTTCGGAGTTCTCCATACATTTGTCCCATGCGATTCGAGGCATCGCGGCTGGCCAACTTGGCACGACGCCTGCCTGCCTGGTGTCCGAAGGTCGGGGGTTCGCATGCGTCGCGAGGTTTTGGCGTAAGGCATATCGGGTTGTGCAGGACGAGCTGCAATGTTTTCGCGAAGCCGTGCTGCTGCTTCTGTGTCAACATCCTGGCAAGCGTAAGCCCCAGAAGATGCTCAGCTTCGCCGAGCTTCGCCGGAATTGCGGAGGCAGAGGGAGGGTGACGCTCGGAGCTGCCATCAGGACTACTGCTCTAACTCCGATGCGGTGCCCTTAGCTTCCTCCGGTCGAAGTGATTGCTGCACAAGATCTGTCGGAAGACGTGCACGTGGGATGATGGGAAGATGATGCAGTTTGGGCTGTAATATGAGAAGGTCAGCAGTCTTCAAATCTTCGGGTCTAGCTTGTCATTGCCCGTATCGGCCAACTTTCAGCATCTTTCAGCTCATTGTGGGAAACAGGACACGTCTCCATGCACCAAACGCATGGATACAGGTCGCTCGCCGAATGCGGTACAGTGGCAGCTTTGCGGGCAAAGACCACACCTTTAACTTCTGCGCAAACGCCATAAACACAACGCTGGGCCCCTCACTTTTCTTACTCCAGGTCTTGGAGGATTTTGCCAACTCTCCAAACATGTGGCATGCATGAATTCCATGCGTTCCCGAAGGTGAGTCGTGTAGGCCCTGCGAATCGCGGCAGTTGTCGGAGCACATCGTTATCAGACCTTGGCGTGGGACATCTGTGGCTGAGTCAACCTTAATAACACAGCAGACCAAGTATGCCAAACTTTGTCCGAGAGTTGTCACCGTTGCGGCCAGTCGTTGCCTGCCGCCAACTTTTCCAAGAAGCCGAAGCACCAGCGGATCAGTGCAGAGAAGCTGGCACTCCTCGACGAGTGTGTTGTTGCGAAACAGAGCCACGATTCAGGATAATTGCAGCCGCTCGCTCAAAGCTCGCAAAACTTGTGGAGCCGACGGGGTACCTCCGGTGTTTTGAAAGGCAGTGGCTCTACGTGGGGTGTGGCAAAAATTTGCAGTAGTACAGAAGTGGCATGAAGCCTTGGTTTTAGTTTTCAGGAAGGGCGTTGACTCCAAGTGCGAGAACTAATTACAGACCAGATCTTGATTTACAAGTGGTTGCACATTGCAAGCTATTCACTGCAGTGCTTTGGCAGTGTGTGTCCGATGCAGGAGCTGAAGAAGAAGCTGTGGCACAAGTGCGTCGTCCACGAAGCACGGTAAATTCCTGAGTATCGTCGAAAGCTTTCAAGAGCATTCACCATCGTCGTGTGAATCATGCCCTTGTAGTTTCGTCGTGTCTTTAGGGACCGACGTCTTGTCGTCAGAGCTGGGGATTTCCATTCGGTCTGATGACAGCCCTGTTGCATGATGCGTCCGGTCAGCTGCACCGTTTAATTGTTCCACGGTGGACGAACTCAGGCCGATCATGGGCTTTCCTTTGAATTGGAAAAGTGGAAGCTACTGCCAAGGGGATGCCCTCTCCAATCTCGCACATCCTGTTTGTGAAGACAGATGCAGAAAGTCGGAGCTGATTGCCCGAGCCACGGCCACGGCCATGTGTCTTTGTAAACGGGGCTTCCCCTGACCTGACCTGACTTGACCAGCCCAGCGGCTTCTCAATCCTGAGCCACCTCGTGTCGGACTGGGGCGAAGGCTGTTAGTTCGCGCGTTATTGAATTGAGAGGTCTCTGGGACTGGCCAAGCGAAATGAATTTGCCAGGGCTGTGGCACATCTCGCTGTTGTGGAATCGAGCCTTATACAGCCACGAGCGAAGATGCCATGCATTGCCACTCTGTCGAAAGCTGGCGGGCCATCTATACGCTCGTTGCGTAGCTCAGGCAGAATTTGGTCGGCATGGCCAGGGGCGGGCACACGCCATCTACACGGGATATCGCCGCGTGCAATGCACATCAATGCACGTTTCACGTCGTGGCACCATGTCTTTTGGAACCGGAACGTCGGCGACATTTTCCCTGCGCCTGCTCGGCTGGGTAAACCGCATCCCGTCAGGCTTTAAGCAACAGGCCACTTGACATTGGTTGGGCGAAGATACGTGCTCAGCCGAGACGTTGGCGGAGGCGTTGGAGCAACAGGACTCGGAGGTGCGCCGATGACGCTCCATCGACCTGGCTGACGGACTAACCGGTCGGCTCGCTCTGACTTGCGACGCTTGGGTCAGCCCGGAGACCAGCGCTCGGCTTGTGCCAGGTCCGGCTTCCTTGCCGGGCCCTTCCGCTTGAGCAGGTCAGAGGGCACGTCTCTGGCGATGCCCAGCGCTCCGGGACGGAGTCCGGGTCTGGGCTTGCAGATTCACCAGCCAAAACACCATGTAAGCATCGGTATTGGTATATATAGAGATGCAATAGTACGAACACGTAGCCAGAAGGCGGATCCCTGTCAGTTTACAGGTCCACGGGAGTTGTGCGGATATGTGCGGATGGATCGCAGCTTAAGCTGATCCCGACTTTTTAGCCTTTTCCACTGCAGACGCTGCGCGTCGCCATTGAATCGCTGCCGAGCATTGCCGAGCACGACGAGCTTCTGTGGCCCCTCATTTCGGAGCTTCGGGTAGGAGGCTATGTCGCGTCGTTCCGCTGTCCGCAGTGCGGCCGTGCACGACCGTGGTTGCCCTCTACTAACTAACATCGCGTTGCAGCACAGCGCGGAGCCGTAGCGTCGTCGACAGGCCTGCTGCGCTTCCCCTGCGAGTGTCACGAAGGGCTGCGGACTGCATGCGCCGGTTCGTGTTGGAGCGCAACAGCCGGGATGTCGGTACGCGGCTCCGGTGATCGATGCGTAGGGTCCATGTGGGGTCCGTGAGGGCCCGGTGAGTGTTCTCGTCTCCCGCGCCAGCTCGAACGCTGTCAGGATTGATGCTCGCCCATTCAGACTTTGGCACATGCGCGGCGCCGTTTGCCACCTGAAGGGTCTCGGTGATCGGGCCTATACCGTTGTGGGATGTTCTGGGCTCGAGCTTCGCGCAGCAGTCGTTTCTAGTCGCCCGCCCGTTCAAAAGCGGCTGCTTGCGCCAGTTAGCTCTGCTCGTCCGTCCGCTCCTTGATGCTCCTTGTGATGCAGGGCGGGCCAGGAGCATCAGCATGAACAGTTTCCAAGCGTGGTTGAAGGGCTCAACGTCTGCAAAACAAGGATTCACTGGCTGCCTGTGTAACCTTGCCTTCCATCGGCGCTGTTCAAGCCCGCGCCGGGACAATCATTTTCGTTCATGGCAGAATGCGTTCACATGCGTGCATTGAACCGATTTTGCTGTGCAGTAAGCCTTGGCGGGGGCAGACTGGGTTTTCCGGCTTGAAGTATTGCGAATGATACGTTCCACAGGTTTTTGCAACATACATTTTTTTTTGTGATGGGCATGCTTCGATATCGGCGGATATTCGTTTCTCAATTTTTGACTCAGAATCAAGCTTTGAACACAAGGCATGATGTTGTAGGCTCAAACGACGTCATCGTATGCGGCTGTGCATGCTGTTCAGATGTTCGTTCAGTGCAGAATCCGGTGCCTCATGTGCTTCCGTGCTGCGATTTGCAATGATTTGGACATGGTTCGCTAGAGCCAACGTGAGACTGATGTGGTGCTGCAAAAAAGCTCATTTGTTGCAGAATCCGGTGCCTCACGTGCTTCCGTACTCCGATTTGCACACACGGGTTTGGGTTTACGTGGCTTTATGCATTCTGCAGAAAATTAATAGACCATAGAGGCAAAGTGAGACTGCCGCGGAATCCCCAAGATGACGCTCACAGGTTTGTTTATTGCAGAATCCGGTGCTTCACTTGCCTCCGTACTCCGACTTGTGTAAAGTCTCGGGATATCTGGGGCTACTTGCCCTTATGCATTTCTTCACTGAAGTACAACGCGCAAGAGGCAACGTAAATTTGCCATGGAAGCAGAAGGATGCCGCTACTTCGATTTGCGTGTGGTTTGAGCTTAAGGCACCGTGGCTTCCTGTGACACATGTGACACAGGCCAAACCACTACACTGTCTTCCTCTTCGCACTGTGTGCCAGGTCCCACTGCACCTGGAAGCATCTGGAAGCTGCGTCGCGCGTGTGTGACCCAAGTCCGCGCTCGGAGGCGCCGGGAAGCCGGGGCGTCGGAAGGTAATTTGCTCAGACAGAACGGAATCGTATGAAAATGTACAACCAATAGCGCGAGGGTGGCCCTGGAGGTGTATCTGATCTATCCACGTCGGCATGTCCATTTATTTTGGCGATCTTATCTTTGCTTGCGAAGAATCGAACGTTTGGGTCAAGCCTAAGGTTTTATTTCCACGACCGGTCCCGAGGACGTCAGACTCCTAGAAATTTATCCAGATAAATCTTTGGATTGGCCCTGCGTTATCTGCGTTGCAGTACACCCCCCACATCTATAAATGTTCATTGGTTTGTTAGGGATAAATTTTGCTATTACGACGGCTCTTTCTTCGCGTTTTTCTTGATCGTGAACAGTGTCTGACGCTCTGTTAAGACGTGATGAGTTGAATTACGACCATGAATAATATGGATTGGTATTCAGTTTATTCGAATTATTTCACGAACTACAAAAACACTTGTATCGCTTGCCGACCACCCGCTGTTGGAAACAGCGGGTTCACTGTAGTTATTTTTTTGATGTTAAGATAAATTTTAATGTGGTTGTCATCCAAATATTTAGACATTGATGTATGAAAAATATTAAAGATGAATGTGTTTTTAAACCATAGAAAATATTAGAAAGTGACTTAAGAATGAAAGACGAACATTATATACATATGTATATATATATACATATACATATATGTATATGTATATAAATACATATATATATATGTACATATATATATACATATGTATTTTATGTACATATATATATATACATGCATGTATGTATGTATAGTATGTATGTATACATACCCATATATATATACAGTC